AAAAAGATGCGTATGGCATATCGTATTAGTTAAGTGCCGACTATCAAAGCTTTTTATTCTCTGAAAATGATATTCTGACTCAGCTTACCGGGTTGTTTTTTACAGCTGCTACACGCAGTACATTTTAACAAACACCACCTGACAGTTCGATAGATGTGGACAACAATGATGAAAGGCGGTGGAATGGCAGGACGATCTTCATACTCAGAGATCAAGGAATAACGTTCGTATCGCCACTCTACCAATGAATTGGCTTCAACTCTTTCATATACTCGACTGAAATAAACAAATAAAGTAAACGAGTTAGAATGAAAAATGCTATTTCAGTTATATATAGTATTTTGTTGGAGCTTAAATTATTACGCGTATTAACGCTGAAAGTAAACATCACTATACAATATTTGACTGACCTGAAAATGGCAATTAGGATGTTCAGTAGAAGTACATTGCCAATCAACAAATATAAAGCGAGTAATATTGTATATGTTATTGATGAAAATGTATCGGGAACGGGAATATCAAGTTCATCTGGGAGAAGAAAAAAAAACATATAAATGCGGTTACTATTGTAAGATTAGACGGGTGCTCATTTGATAGTTCATCATTTGCATTTGTATTGTAAACAATCTTGCCCGTGATTTACGTGCTATGTGCTTATTCACAAGTGGACACGAAGTTGCTTACTGGTTGTGTTCATTACTTCAAGGAAGAGCTCTCCGTAAATCTGAAAGTACGGCATGTAGAAGATATCTCGCAGTATTCCCCGGTACGGGTCACGTCCTGTGTAAAGTATTATCTGGGCAGCAACTCCAAAGCCGACGATGAACACCATCAACACCAATAGGAACCAATACATTTCACGTAACTAAGCGAAAGAGATTATATTAGATATTGCGCTTTGGTACATACGTGGGTCTCAATGGCATATAGTGTAATAGGCATTAACAGTGTGCCAGTTATAAATAGATGACCCCCCCCCCCACACACACACACACTGTGTCATCGCTCGCGCCATTTATTGGAAATGCAAGAAAATGTATCCAGCGTAGTCGTTGTTCCTTGCAAATCTTACAATAACTTAGCCGTGCAGTTTCACTTAATTACAGTATGGGGTATAATAAACGCAATCTCCAGTTCGCATCCATCCCGCCTCGCTTTGGCTGGCTACTTGCTTTTCAACGTTGTGTATGCTGCCCACACTGAGCGACTGAAATCGAGGCTAAAATTATTATCGAACAAAAAAAAGCAAAAGTTTCTAAAACAACTTCACTATTGATACTTGCTGTAGAACTACGTCTAACATATAGAGCCAGTTTAGAATGACGAAACACATACAACATTCGATAATTTTTTATAAAAACGTTAAAGTACTCACCATTCCTTTTATCATTATCAAAAAGGGGCCGAGATTTTTACTGAATAAATACATTCGTAACATCCGTATCCAAAATATCACACAGCCAATTGCATATAGAGCTCTGGATACAGAGAATGCTGTGTCGTTGTCATAGAAACGAATTCCGAACCCCACCGCCACACAGATAATAGCAAAGGTATCTAAGACATTCCAGATACTTCTCCAGTAGTTGGTGAATCGTTGCCAAACAGATTCATGCTCATCACGTGGTATAAATATCTTATGATAATAAATTGAATATGAAAAAAATGTTTAAGGTCAATATCTAACCAGTCACATTATTTGTCAAATTTAATAGGATGACATAAGAAACTTGTTATGATAAACATATATCAATATCCGTGGTTATGTAATGTATGCAAATAGTGTTACTACATTAACGGAAGTGCATCTGTTTGCTAGTACAAGTTTTACGATTGTTAGAGTAAACAGGGAGGAATGTGTGTGGAATGGACAGAGTGAGCATCATTATTATTTTATCAAGTGAGCCGCGAATGAATTTAAAGAGTCTAATGGTGAACCGCCTCTTACCTGTCTAATCTCCTCCAAGAGCATAGTGAGTACCCATACGTGTAGGATGTAGTCCTGAGTCTTAAAGGGATATCGATCCATATACAGTGAAACATGGCTGTACAGTATCAAGAAACATAATAACGCCACCTATGGTACAAAATGACTTGCCGTTAATTAACAATTGCAAATGTAATCAAGTGTTTACGTGCTGGTAGGTGAAGAACGCGTCTGAACTCTTTAGTTCGAGTAAATGTGTCCATTGTATGGCAAATAGTTCAACTTGAAGTCGCATATGTTGTTTAGATGAATTTACACATGTATATAACTGCAAACAAATTTCACTGCTGGGACTTACCCAATCAAATACAAATTTTGTCATCGGAGCGCTGTAAAACGCATTGATTTTTCCAAGACAGCTATGCTCTGTGAATGACAAAAAAGACTGTGATATTAAATTGTTATACCGTGGAAGGTACTAACGTTAGTACCTTCCATGGTTATACCAAACCTATTTAATTTATTTCAAATGAATAGTATGTACATGTGTATGTTTTGACCTGTATCACGTGTATGTGTTGACTTGTAGCACGTGTATGTGTCGACTTGTATCACGTGTATGTGTTGACTCGTATCACGTGTATGTGTTGACTCGTATCACGTGTATGTGTCGACTTGTATCACGTGTATGTGTTGACTCGTATCACGTGTATGTGTTGACTCGTATCACGTGTATGTGTTGACTCGTAACGTGTGTATGTGTTGACTCGTATCACGTGTATGTGTTGACTCGTATCGTGTGTATGTGTTGACTCGTATCGTGTGTATGTGTCGACTCGTATCACGTGTATGTGTTGACTCGTATCATGTGTATGTGTTGTGACTCGTATCACGTGTATGTGTTGACTCGTATCACGTGTATGTGTTGACTCGTATCGTGTGTATGTGTTGACTCGTATCGTGTGTATGTGTTGACTCGTATCGTGTGTATGTGTTGACTCGTATCGTGTGTATGTGTTGACTCGTATCACGTGTATGTGTTGACTCGTATCACGTGTATGTGTTGACTCGTATCACGTGTATGTGTTGACTCGTACGACGTGTATGTGTTGACTCGTATCACGTGTAGGTGTTGACTCGTATCACGTGTATGTGTTGACTCGTATCGTGTGTATGTGTTGACTCGTATCACGTGTAGGTGTTGACTCGTATCACGTGTATGTGTTTACTCGTATCACGTGTATGTGTCGACTCGTATCGTGTGTATGTGTTGACTCGTGTCACGTGTATGTGTTGACTCGTATTGTGTGTATGTGTTGACTCGTATCACGTGTATGTGTTGACTAGTATCACGTGTAGGTGTTGACTTGTATCACGTGTAGGTGTTGACTAGTAACACGTGTATGTGTTTACTCGTATCACGTGTATGTGTTGACTCGTATCGTGTGTATGTGTTGACTCGTATCACGTGTATGTGTTGACTAGTATCACGTGTATGTGTTGACTCGTATCACGTGTATGTGTTGACTAGTATCACGTGTATGTGTTGACTCGTATCACGTGTATGTGTTGACTCGTATCACGTGTATGTGTTGACTCGTACGACGTGTATGTGTTGACTCGTATCACGTGTAGGTGTTGACTCGTATCACGTGTATGTGTTGACTCGTATCACGTGTATGTGTTGACTCGTACGACGTGTATGTGTTGACTCGTATCACGTGTAGGTGTTGACTCGTATCACGTGTATGTGTTGACTCGTATAGTGTGTATGTGTTGACTCGTATCACGTGTAGGTGTTGACTCGTATCACGTGTATGTGTTGACCCGTATCACGTGTAGGTGTTGACTCGTATCACGTGTATGTGTTTACTCGTATCGTGTGTATGTGTTGACTCGTATCGTGTGTATGTGTTGACTCGTATCACGTGTATGTGTTGACTCGTATCGTGTGTATGTGTTGACTCGTATCACGTGTATGTGTTGACTCGTATCACGTGTATGTGTTTACTCGTATCACGTGTATGTGTCGACTCGTATCGTGTGTATGTGTTGACTCGTATCACGTGTATGTGTTGACTAGTATCACGTGTATGTGTTTACTCGTATCACTTGTATGTGTTGACTCGTATTGTGTGTATGTGTTGACTCGTATCACGTGTATGTGTTGACTAGTATCACGTGTATGTGTTTACTCGTATCACGTGTATGTGTTGACTAGTATCACGTGTAGGTGTTGACTTGTATCACGTGTAGGTGTTGACTAGTAACACGTGTATGTGTTTACTCGTATCACGTGTATGTGTTGACTCGTATCGTGTGTATGTGTTGACTCGTATCACGTGTATGTGTTGACTAGTATCACGTGTAGGTGTTGACTTGTATCACGTGTAGGTGTTGACTAGTATCACGTGTATGTGTTTACTCGTATCACGTGTATGTGTTTACTCGTATCACGTGTATGTGTTGACTCGTATCGTGTGTATGTGTTGACTCGTATCACGTGTATGTGTTGACTAGTATCACGTGTATGTGTTGACTCGTATCACGTGTATGTGTTGACTAGTATCACGTGTATGTGTTGACTCGTATCACGTGTATGTGTTGACTAGTATCACGTGTAGGTGTTGACTTGTATCACGTGTAGGTGTTGACTAGTAACACGTGTATGTGTTTACTCGTATCACGTGTATGTGTTGACTCGTATCGTGTGTATGTGTTGACTCGTATCACGTGTATGTGTTGACTAGTATCACGTGTAGGTGTTGACTTGTATCACGTGTAGGTGTTGACTAGTATCACGTGTATGTGTTTACTCGTATCACGTGTATGTGTTTACTCGTATCACGTGTATGTGTTGACTCGTATCGTGTGTATGTGTTGACTCGTATCACGTGTATGTGTTGACTAGTATCACGTGTATGTGTTGACTCGTATCACGTGTATGTGTTGACTAGTATCACGTGTATGTGTTGACTCGTATCACGTGTATGTGTTGACTAGTATCACGTGTATGTGTTGACTCGTATCACGTGTATGTGTCGACTCGTATCACTTGTGTGTGTTGATTAGTATCACAAGAATGTGTAGTTTCTTATTGTGTGTAACATTCCATCTTCTCAATTGCTTAACAAATCCTCAAATTGTTTTTGGTGGGAATTCCGCGCGATGTTACTCACCATGTTTGAATTTGACGGTACAGAATATGGCAGGAGGAAATAACACTGGTAGCAGTACCTACAACAACAAAAAATATTAGTACCGTGTTCCGTTAATTAAACAAGGTTATGAACTGATGTATTGGTGACTATCATAATGTGAATTACTTCACTGAACTCGACTCTACAAGAGTGTAATGAACATGTATTAGTTACCTTATGTGTGAAAGGATACTTCATGTCGCCATCCCATCTATTATCTAAAGATCTCTGGCAACTAGCATGACCTACAAATCGCTGAAACAGATAACGTAAGAGCGTTTAGGGTCGCCATTACAGAAATTGCTCCCTCAATTTCACTCGTTTAAGATGTGAATAACCGAGAATTTTGTTAATGTTTTAAATAACTTTGTTCGATAATGTATTTTGAGAAATATAGTAAGATACAATTTATCGTGAAAATTATGTTAAGATTGATGCTAAAACAACACTTATTTCACCATGAAACATGCTTTAAAAATACTGAAAGTTATGCACGTGGTTCCTTTAATGTTTTCCGAGTAGTGGAATACAATTCCCAGAGAAACAAAACTATTAGCCGTGGTCACATTTCACCCTCGTGGTAACAATACCTTACAATCAGCCAAAGCTCCTAGTTCCAACATGTTTAGATTTCCCAACAACGGCAGCCTTCGCTCCACAAGTTGTAACGCATAGTCGTCGTCCAATGCCCTTGTCTCCGCAAGGACATTACATGCCTTGTCCTCGTACTCACTGAGCGAGAAGATATGTAATTATTACTGAGCTGTGCATAAAAAAGGCCGTTGAAGTGCTGATGGAAGTTGTGTTCACGAAGAAAGTTAAGTAACATGGAAAACACTGTAGATTACCCCCATTGAACAATATTCAGGATGTTAACAAAGATGGAATACAATATAGTACGGTGGCAACATATGAATATTTCTACTATCTACATAAATATGGTGTAAGAATTCAACACCGTATATAATCACAAGACACAAATCGCAACTACAAAGCGCAGTAATACTTACTCTGCCAGAGTTAAACACAATGCTTCATCGTCTGGGTCGGCGAATCCTTTGCTAGCTATACACTTGTACACTCTGCACGCAACAATAGCCAGGGAGATTGGGTCAGCGCATCGTGTCCAAAAGAACGACGCTAGTTCATACCTACACAGAATTATTGGTTTTATTATTATTAGTAGTAGTATTAGTATTAATATATTCATTTATTTTTTTCTCCAATGTGTTGATGTTACAGTTAGCATATATACATGACACATGACGCGTTGAGCAAATTATGAAGAAATTCCACCCACCTGTTAACAAGTAAAGCCCAAATAAACAACTCTCGGAATGGCCTCTTCTCGTATTTTTCTTCGACGTCTATGAGCAAACAAATCGTATGATTATTATGAATGCTCAACTAAATAAGTCATAGTGCCAGCCAAACAGCAGTAGAACTATTGACAGCTTGCGAATTTCGCACGACATTCTGCCCTCCGTTGCATTTTAAGACACACATATGTCTCAAGTTATTTTTTGTGGATAGTGGATAGAGTAACCCACTTGAGACGATTCGATGCGAATTTGGAAATAATCTAGCATTACGATAGATCATGTATGAGACTTTGGCTATAGGCTCCTTAGAATGGTCATTCCTATTTTAACGTTGAATTATTCATGAGCAAACGACGAAGCTTACAATACATATTTTGTGTTTATTTAAATTAGCCTACTCCAGTACTGTGCATGGAGCAATGCAACAGTCACTAGCTAGCTAGCGCCCTCTTGCAATTTACTCGAATCAGGCCCAAACTGTAGGTTTATATCTGTAGACCCACACTTTCTCGCAGTGTTTTTAATACTTACTACTCGGTGTGTAATAACCTCTCATCATGGATTTTAATTCTTCGTTGACACTGCGTCTATAAGACGGACAACTATTTCGAATCTGTTCAAAGGAAAAGACGCAATATATGTAAATTGTGCACTCAATATTCTTGAATTGAATTACATATTATACTATATATTTTTACTACCACAAAATTATATCTTGGCAAACACAATTTATTCCGAAGAACTAATTAAGAACAAAAAAAAATACTATTTAGACACTTCGGAAGAAAACCTCATTCCATATAATAATGGAGTTAGTTTAAAGCGGGGAAGGCTTCTGCTGCTCCTGTCGCAGACGGCCATCATAAATGTTTACAAGCTTCTACCCATTTTTAGGACGTGTTGTAATCGTCGCTTAGGTCTCAATTTCCGTGCGCAGGTGACCCCTCCCAATGCCCCCATTTTTCTACGAATATATCTCTGCCATAACGCGATCTTGTGCTTGTCGTTGATTGGTCGATGCGTCACAAAGTGTCGGTGTGTATGGAAGAGATACATTCGGTGTTCTGGTCGCAAGGATCTCCGGGAAGGAGAATGCCAAAATTAATTTAATTAGTTTCCACGAAATTTCATTAATAGGCGGTTTTCGGTGATTAAAATCTTAAGATCACACGATACACATCATCGCGGCGCAGCCCCCCTAACTACACAAAGATAAATATATATAATGACTCACCTCGACGTCCAATGCTAAACTGCTTTTACTAGCATGCTATAAAAACAAATGAGAAAATTACCATGACTCAACAATTTCCACAAACTAACAATGGTTTTACCACTAGTGTTTCACCAAACCTTGAAAATACTAATCATTAAACAATATAATAGCGAGAAAATAGCACTATACAATGTACTATGTAAGCCTTGAATATATTAAACTAAAACAAATCTTTCTTAATTTATGCAAATTCATCGCAACCTCAAGTGGTCATGTTTAACACATTACTGTTAGCCGTGTAACACCGTTGTTAGCTAGTATAGGCAGCATGCCCTCCCAGCCTAGAGAAGAATGGAAACACTGATTCAGCAAAACAGGGACACGTGGTCGTCTCAACTAACTTACCCAGTGATAGAGTTGATCCAATCGAAAGTTTGTCAAGTAATCATTTAAGACTAAGCCATGATCTAATAATAATCGTACAAATGTCACTCTGTTTTCCTTCTCAGATAGTGCCCTTGACATGAGTTCTTCTTTCTAGAAATGTAAAAAAAAATTGAAAAATTATCGACGGAATACGGGGGAGTTGTGTTATATTCAGTACATGCTTTATCTAAATCAAAGAGAGTGTGTAGTTGTAGTAAATATTGTGTAGTTAATTTGACATACGCGTCATGGAAGAAAAACAAAAACAATGTAGCAAAATTCATATGACTCTTAATAGTTGTGAGACTCATTGTCCTGCCAGTGTACGAATTCAACCCATATCCTACAAAGGCTTTTCACTGGATGGAATAGCTAATAACCTTGATATGATATGTAATGATTTTGTTTATTTGAACTAATGAATAAGCACCGAATATAAGAAGTGTAAATGTGATTGTGGTGTTGCACTGAAATACTGCGGCCAATTGAGCAATAATTATACGTATACATTGTATAACAGTCCCTCAAGGTGTCGAGGGACTGTATAACCTCAGACTTGTATTACTAGTCTGAGGTATAATCAACGTCCACTTTATAGAAGAACTCTTACGTCTCCGGTGGACAGTGCTAAATTATTCAATGACATCATCTCTTTAGCTATATCTCCTCGGTTCCAGTTGAACGCCAAATAAAAGTATTCTCGACTGGCACCTCGTGCTGAAAACAAAAATGAGTCAGATTCATTAGTTTGCATAGTGGGTTTGATAAGGAAATATATAACTATAAATATTTTAATATATTCTTGATATGACCTATAGTACGCACAAGTAGTTTGATTACATTCATGTTGTATATAAGCTCATACGCCACTGTGACAATACTATGAGGTTATTACGAGGATACCTGAAAGTATGCACGAAGCTGGAGCCTAGCTGGAGTATCACCGACGCGCAACGGAGGTCGATTCGCGGCGTACTGTCTGAGTGCATACTTTGAGGTATTCTCGTAATAACCTTATTATTATACATCTTTTCCTTCCAAGGATACATCATAAGAATGCCGAAAGTTTAGAGCAGAATCAGCAAACTTCTTTGTCTGGAGTCCGGTCAAACCCCGATGGCAGCCATGTTTGTTTTTATTATTTAGAGGACGCTTACGCGCGTAATCATTCCATATTTGGAATTCGCATTTCCTTATATGGTAGGATGAAAATACCCCGTAAAATACCGCAAAATTACGGAACGTTGTAACTTATGGCGTTACAGTAACAGATGTATAATAAATCAAGTTATCCCAAGGATTCTTTGTTTTTTTACTGCGTTCAGATCATTGAGTAAGTTATAAGATATATTGGGACATCGTCGCTATGATTAGGATATAGTTATATTGGGCGACTTTTCAAAGACGGTGTATGAGATAGAGAGGACACCCACCCCGTAAAAGTGCTTGAAGTACTGCAAAATCAAAACCTGCATTTTCGTTCAATTGGTCAGCATCATAGACCTCCACCTGCAATCGAAATATGTTGAATAAGTAATAAACATGAATAAGTAATAAACATGAATAACGAATATAAACCATACATCTCAGTTTTCGCCCTTAGCTGAAATGCATGCCACGTATGACGTGGAATGAATATATTTCTACATAGATACATACATGCTTAAATACATTTCATAGCAATAGGCTGTTATTTACCAGATCCTTTCCTTCAATGATGTCACTAATATAACCTAGAAGCTCCGCTAAA